ATAGGAAAGAAACGCTGAGTAACAAAGGAAGAAAAAGATGCTTCACTTAAGCAAGTTTCATTCTCTTAGACCCTGGTTAAATCTTTTTCTCAAGTGTTTTAAACTGAGAAACTTTAGCTTCTAGCTGAACTTTTCAAAGCATGCTCATTTCTAAACTTTGAGGCTTGGACTTGACAGATTTTTGGAGCTGGGGAAATGTTATTGGGTGGATTATTTTTTTTTTTAGGCATGTGAGGACTACTAGTGGGTTTTACTTACAGAAATTCTAGATACCTGTGAGAATGCTTCTGATCCCATCTCCAGCAAAGTTTTACCAGTGGAAACATTTTGAAGAATACATCTCACTTAATACAAGCTCCATGGACCCAATACCCTAAATCCCTACATTCCCATAAAGAAAATTTACAGTGGATGTTGGCAATCCACAGTAGGGCTCTGAGATGTATACAAAAATACTCTTGTACTGTAAATGTTTTGTTTTAAAACAACCTGCATGTCTATGTGTCTGCATTCCCTTGTAATTGCTGATTCTTTTAAAGAACTATGTCCTTTAATTTGACTTGCTTGTTTCCTACCAACTCTCCTTTGTTATCTATGTGTAAAAGTAGAGTGCCACTGCTGATATTCATAAGTATGGTATTGAAACAGAGAACAGAATCTGACCTATGGCTCTGTAAAAGGTCTGTTTCTTGTGTTGAGTTTAAGATGCCTCTCAGTAAATATGACTGAATATATTCTATTTACAATTGAAATGCAAGGTTTTAATCATGAAGGACCCAGTTAGCTTTGGTTTGATTTTGACCTTGTAATTTAAGAAGCCCCAAAATGATTCTTTGGCCTTTAGTGGTAGTGATTTCTAGCCTGGCCAAATTTATTCCACAGCCACTAAAGGTCTGAGACACTTTACAAATAAGCAATTTACGCTTAGTATTGATAGAGTGCACTGCTTGATGTACTCTAGACAAGTCATACTTTGCATATGAGGGTTTTCCCATCAGTTATGTTGAAAAGGAGGTGATAGCAGACAGTCCTAGGAAGCTGGAGGATTAATCCAAACGTAAAGAGAAACCTGAGAAATAAGGTCAGGAAATATTGGCCTGTGATTTAAACTAGAGGAATGAAAATAAGTGTACCTCCTAATAAACTAGTAAAAAATACAAATACTATATTTAGTTGGGAGGAAAGATGACAAAGACTTCCCCTACCAAATAAAAAACCCCAAACCTAAAAAACTAAACAAAAAATGAATGTAATGGTAGGCATTATTTGTGCAGTGCACCGTGATGGTGGGCGGCAGGGTGGGGAGCAGGGGTAGAGAGAGAGAGATAAGAGACAGAGAGAGTTTGGGGACTTTAACTGCAGAAGGAAGGCACCAAACCAAGACCAGTAATAGTCCCTTTCTGTATAGTACTGTGACATCAAAATCCTGCATCCTCTGACAAAAATTTAAATTTCAAGAAATGTGGAATAGTTTTTCCCTGAATGCAGTGTTACCCAGTGTTTTTCTATACCACTATGGGATCTAAGACTATATCAATTTAGACAAAAGTCCAACGGCTTCACTATCAGAAGAGCAGTAGCATAATTTTTGTTTTAAAAAAAAAATTACTCATTTTCCATTCTAACCTTTTAAAAATGTATTGGAGCCAAAAATATTTTTTATCAAAAACTTTCATTCATTACATTACAATGGTAGCAGACTTCCAGTTTTTGCCTTCTTGTCAATAAAAGTCCAACTCAGCATGGCTGGTCCTACCTTGTCTCCAAGCTTGTGCCTCAAACAGTAAATTCATTATCACATTTTTCCTCTCTTATCAGAGAGAAAACTTTTACTTTAAATTCTGGAATTTAGTTGGCTCATGGAAATGTTCCTCTGCCTATATGGAAATAGTACAGAATCTGAACTTAAAGGATTTATGTAGTTTATTTCCTGCATCTTTGCACCTTTATATGCTATGAATATCTGGTGCACTGTGGCTAATAAACCCCCCATGTGATATAGTGCTGTGGAATAGATGAAGACAATAGGGCTGCATTATTGGTACCCAGCTGGCAGTGCATGAAAATTCATGGGGCAGCAAAATCTCCCCTTTTGAGAGTGGTGGAACAGTCTTGTTGCTATTATAAATAACTCTTGACTAAGACAAGTTTAAAAATGTTTGTAATTTAAAAAACCTCCTTCTGTAGTGGAAGCGGGAGAAGCAGAATAAAGAATCATCTGAGCAGGAATTTAAAAGTAGTTTTCATGATAGTCACCACTGAATCTAATTTTTATGATGGATTTTTATATTATTGCATGAGACTTATCTTGCATATCACCAAGGGACCCGCCCCCAAGGAGATAAGTCTAATGGAAGCTTCCTCTCCATTCTTTAATATGTTAAAACCTACAATAAGAACATACCAATACTCTGAACAATATAACTTCAAAAGTACTGTTTTATATCAAGTCAAGTTAGTCCTGAGGCTGCTCCAACCGTTGGGGTACCTTAGAGCTGCAACAACCCTCCTCCACTCCGCATGAGGTTAGCTGAGTTGCTTTGCATCATTGGTTATTCTGGCAAAGTATCCTGGGTGATGCCTATCTCCTCTCGAAGTATGGATGGCCATTGCCTCACCGGGACTTCATCTGCCCTTTGACAGATCTTCTTTTTCATTCCTGTTGAGTGTCCACACACCTTCCTCACCCAGGCTAGTCCAGGTGGGATGGGGGCAGTTTAGTCTCTCACAACTTGACCATGGAATAGGCTGTACTGATTTACATGGTACCAGATAGTAGACTGTGGGAGCCTAGCTCCCAGCATCCTGAAGAATGTGGGACAGAGAAATTCAGGGGAACTGTCCTGGGGCACCAGGGAAGAACCAGATGGCCCAGTAAGGGCCAGTTGTGTTCCTTACCTCCCGGCAGGATCACAAGCAACCGTGGAGGAGCGACAAAAGAAGCAGATGCAGCAGTAGCCATGTTTTAGAAGCGTGTGCTTGCTGTGCATAGAAGAGCATGCTGCAGCCTCTGGTATAAGGTAGGAGTCAGTACAGTGAGGAGACAGTCTACAACAGGTGTAGGGCTGCAGAGAGCACATGAGCCTAGAGTCTTGTGAGTGTCCCCTACACTGGAGGGGGAGAACACTGGAGGTCCAAGCACTCGGAGGAGTGCCCAGCAGCAGGTGCCCAGGAGTTTGAGCAACTGACGGGGACCCACTGTGGCCAGGAGCAATGAAGAGGAAGACAAACCTGAAGGCGCAGGGTGCCTTGGTACTGTAAGGGACTTATTAGAAAAAACGTGTACAATCTGGTAATGAGGCCTGAGCCCAGATGGCAGGGAGCCAAACCCTGAGGATCCAGGTCCCTACTAAAGACATACCTGATGATTAGTCAGGGCCACCTGAATAAGTGTTGGTACGTGGACAGGGTAAGAGGGAGGCAGGAACCCCATGGAGGCAACCCATGATCTTACATGTGGAGCCCCAGAAACTTCAGGAGCCTTCTGCTCATTCAATAATATCAAGCCATGGCGGGTGAGAACAAAAGGCATGGATATATGTTGAGGCGAAGCTATCATCACACAAGGCAAGTACGTAGAGAGCTCTGGCTCTCATGCCTGGAAGTATCAGATGTATCTATGATGTTGGATACACAGGCCAAGAGAAGCATGGTCTGACATCCCTGTTTTATGTAGAAACCTCATAATCAGAGGACCGTAAATAGGACAGCACTTCCATATTTCCATCCAAATAGAGGGACAGGGAGCAGAGGCATTGCCTGACCTTTAATGATCAAAAGACTGACTGTTCTGCTCAGACTTTCTCTTACACAGATGTACAGGTGACACTGAGAATTCCTGTTTAGAAAACTGCCTATGGGAAAAACATGCTGTACATCCAGACACACAAGACTGGGTTGAAGCCCACAGTGTGAAGCTTTGTCTTCTATGCTAACTTAGTCTATATTCCTGTCACAGACACTGCCTCTTACAAAATAAAAAAAAGAGTCACTTTGTTGACCACAATTCTGTCCCTTTTTTCTCTAGTCTTCCTATCTGGTTAGAAGCAATAAATGCAATGAAAAGATGAGCAACACTTTTTCCTCCTTTCGGATTGGTAAATCTATTCCTTCAGTAGTTTTCACGATAGTCACCACTAAGCACACCACCTCCACAGAGCTAATATTAATGGAATATTAATGGAAATTTCCTCTGCACTTTTTAAAATGTTAAAATCTACAAGGACATACAGACGTTCTGAACAATTAAAAGTGTTCTTGTCTAATTCATCTAGCGTTATAATAGAGCATTACTTGGTGTTGCCTGAGAGAAACAAAAAAATGTTTTGTGACTAAGAAGCCAGGCAGGAAGAAAATAATTACAATTATGACACTGCTCGCAAACTTTTATCCTTTTCCCCTACCTAAAATAATTTACTGCCTGCTGTCTGTGTCCCCAATTATGTTTTGGTGGCATATTGTGGGGCAGGGAGAAGGAAGAAATGCTGGAAATGCAACAGATAATTTTGCCGTGAGAGAGCCTTTGGGAAAGTGAAGAGAATTTTACAGGATGTAAAGCTGTGCTAATTTTATGGGCCTGGAGGCTGGGAAAGAAGTCTCACATTTGCCTGTTAGTATAGAGTACCCAGAGTGTTCAGAATGGTTATAAATGCCAAGCGGGAAACCTTTTAAGTGCTTAATAATGTATTAGCATTGGGGATACAAATGATGCTGGAGCATGGGATCTGATTGTCTTCTACTGTGACATGCTGTATTATCTTTGAGAAACTTCCTTCTGGTCCCAGATCTGGTCAAGTTAAAATATTGTTCAGCAAACTGTACCTCTTTTCACTAGCTAGTATGATAGAATATCCTTTATAATTCAGAGGATAAATTCATATCTCCAAGTACAGAATTTTACTGCTGCAGTAGGTGAGAATCAAATTGGGCCCTTGGGTAGGTTGAGAGACAATTCCCATGTTTTAACTGTTTTATTGACTTTTGTGTTCTGGTTTCTCTAGGTTGTTATGTACATAGGTCAAGTCTCTAAGGACATCCTGAAATGGCCTCGTCCTCATTCGCCACCTGTTGTGAAGCTGGAAGTGAAAGCAGATGCAGAATATGGAATGCCATCCACCCATGCCATGGCAGCTACAGCCATCTCATTCACATTTTTTATTGTGACTGTAAACCAATATAAGGTAGGGAGGGACAAATCTGTATTTAATTCTGTTGACCTGTAGTAAGTGAGTATGAACAGATCTGATGCTCATCTCACCCCTACACCCTACCAGTATTTCCACAGAGATTCAGTCCTGCCTTCTACTGTATCAAAACTACTGTTGAAATTTCCCCAGTTCAGTCGAGATGACAACACCTTCACTTTTGTATAAGAACTGAAAGTCCTTAAAGTGAAATCTCCAAACTAGTTTTAAGTTTAAGATAAGTCAGGTTTGAAGAGTGAGACTCTATGTATAGCTTTTGGAAAGATTTTGCATTCTTTCTAGCCAAGTATACATAAAACATTAGCAACTATTCAAGAAACTCCTCAGGTAGCAAATACTGTGGGTGTATAATCAATGTGAGTGTGCAGCAGGGTTGTGATTTTTCTTCCTACACTATTGAGAATGTAGTCTTTGGATATCAATCCAACCAGCTGAAACCCACAAAACATTTGCAATTAAATTTTTATTGCAAAAGTATTTCTTTAAATACAGGATTTTTAGTTATCCTTTGACTGAATACTTTAACGGAATCAAAACGAGGAGAGGCTAACGGACCTGAACCTGTTCAGCCTCCACAAGAGAAGGCTGAGGGGGGATCTAGTGGCCTGTTACAAACTAGTCAGAGGGGACCAGCAGGCATTGGGGGAGTCCCTGTTCCCCTGAGCACTACCAGGAGTGACTAGAAATAACAGTCACAAGCTGGCAGAGGGTAGATTCAGACTAGACATCAGGAGGCGCTACTTCACTGTCAGGGCGGCTAGGATCTGGAACCAACTTCCAAGCGAAGTGGTGCTGGCTCCTACCCTGGGGGTCTTTAAGAGGAGGTTAAACGAACACCTCACTGGGGTTGTTTGCCCCCAGTACTTTTTCCTGCCATGGCAGAGGGTCAGATTTGATGATCTGCTCAGGTCCCTTCCGACCCTACCTACTATGAAACTGTGAAAACTTCTCACCCTCGAAAAGGCTACATAAAGCTGTCCATGTGTAAACACAGGCTTAGGATTATCAATATATATTTTTCAAAAGTCTGACCTTGTGACTTGCTTATAATCGTAGAATAACAGGGCCCTTGCACATGTGACTAAGGGCCCTTGTACACATGAGGAAATTGCCCCTTTTAGTGGCTTAATTGCCAACAATTTAATTGTGTAACAGTATACATGTTCGGCAGCATGTTACAATGAAATTTCGTAAGTGTATACATTTGGCGGTGTAATTTCTACTTAAATGACTTTTTTACGTACCAAACTAAAACACATCCTATGTATGCCTTCCTACCATCTTCCCAGGGCAGCCAGCCCATTCCCAGGCAGTTCAAGGCAGCAGGGATGGCACACGGGGCTCTGGAAGCCTGCCAAGCCCAAGCTCCCCAAGCACGCCCAGGCCCCCCCTGCAGCTCAGGGGTTGCATGACCCAGTGGCAGCTCATACGGGTAGGCTCCACCGAGGAGGGGAAAAATATTTTTTTAAAGTGGTGAGGGGCCTAATCTTTTTTTTTTCCCCCCCGCCTTTCTTCCGGAGCCAGCCTATGTCCCCTGCAGCCAGGGAATGAGCTGCCGGCAGGTCATGCTGCCTCTGAGCTGCAGGGAACCCTGGTGCTTTCCTCCGTGGCAGTGGCATGCCCTGGGCAGCAACCCTCGGGCAGTCCAACGGGGCGCTGCTGCCATGGAGGGAAGCACCAGGGCTCCCTGCAGCTCAGATCTGGCTGCCGTTCACCTCCCCCCCCACACACGCACTTAGCTGCAGGAGAGGCAGGCAGTCTCTGGGGGGAAAAAAAAGGATTGCAGTGTGGGGCCCCAGTGCTTCATTCTAGCTCTGACTTGCCTGCATATCTGTACAGTCAACCACCCTGGCGATCTTCAAACAGCATCTTGATGCCCATCTTGCTGGGGTCATCTGACCCCAGCAGTCTTTTCTGTCCAAATGCAGAGGGGGTGGACCCAATGGCATAAGGTCCTGTCCAACCCCTAACAACTATGAAACGCCTCAGGATCTATACTAATAACACGCTTATTCTTTCTGTCCAGAGCACTCTGATTGGTTAAGTAAGCATTGTGATTGGCTGCCGAGACAGCCAATCAGAGTGCTCCATACAGACAGAATAAGCCTATTATTCTAATATTATAAAAGCCTACATCTGTCTGTCTGTCTGTAATGCTTTATTCACACTCTGATTGGCTGACAAACAGCCAATCAGAGTGCAAAGAAGTGTTCTAACAGAAGGCCGCCCCCTGCCACAACGGTGGGGACACAGGGGATGGAGGCTGCACTGGCCAAGCCCCCCCCCCCCCCCCCCCCTGCTTCCTGCAGGTAATGTGGAGGAGGGGGAGTGGGCCTGGGCCCAACACAGCGTAGAGGGCAGCCAGCCCGAGCGGGGGAAAAAGCCGGCCTGCGGGGGTGTGGGGGGGGCAGTGGGCCTGGCCTGACTCAGCCACAGCAGTGGCTCGGGGAGGAAAGGAGCGGGTCTCCTCCCCACTTCGGGCCTGGGCCCACTCCTCACCCTCTCCCCTCCCCTCCCCAGCGTTGGCTGCGAGCCCACTCCTCCCATCCCTGAGCAGGCCTGATGCGGGGGGGGGGGGGAGGAGTGGGTGTGCCATAGGATCAGCGGTAACAGGGGGAGAGGGGGGAATGAGCCCGAGCCAGGGGAAAAGCTGGCCCACTGCAGCAGTGTTGGGGGGAAAGGGGGCCTGGCCTGGCCCGGCCCAGCCCAACACGGCAGCTGTGGGGGGAGGGGAGGAGTGAGCCTCCTCTCCCCATCAGGCCCAGGCTCCCCCTGCACTGGCAAGAAGCAGGCTCCCATGGGCTCCTAGTCCCAGCTGCGCTGTACATGAAACACAGCCGGGACCGAGAGCTCTTGGCCCCAGTTGTCTCTTGTGAAGTGCAGCTGGGACTGGGAGCCCTATCAGTTGTGGGACACTCAGTCCCAGCTGCTCCTGAGGCACAGCTGGGACCCAGAGCCCCATGTGGGCTGGGGGTTTAATGCACCCCCTTGCTTTAGGGATCACAGCACCTGCAATCCCCAGGGCTCGGGGGTTTCATGGTGAGCAAGATGCACCCCTGCAGCTGAGAGCCCTTTCAGCTGAAGGGGTCCCCAGCCACAAGGGATATGCAGCTACATGTGCAAATTAAAGCACAGTAGCAACCAGCTATAAAGTTAGTATGCATTTTTAAGGTCCAACTTTAAGGTTGGAGCTTTTTTTTTATTATGTGATAGCTACTTTGCGCATGTAGCTGATCTCCAGGTAATTGCACAGTTAACCAGGTAATTAACCAGGTAACTGTGCAATACCTGTAATGTGTAGAGGGGGCCTAATAAATTTATATAGTAGCCAGTTCAATACTGCATTTTATTTTCATCCATATTAATCAAGTTTTCCATATCAGGATATTGGAAGGTTGTCAAACAGAGAGTAAGCTGTAAAACACAGAGCTCTGCAAAAGCATATCTGTCCTGACTTACAATCACCTCTAATCATCCACCCAGTCTAGGATTTTCTTGAGCAGACAGTCTACTGTGTTAGATTGGATAACTTGTTTTTATTCTACAGAAAAAAAAATCACTTAATAACTAAGATATGACTACCAAACTCATTTTCATGTGACCTAAGCCAGGATTTGAATGCAGAGGTGAAGGGCTAATGCATTAACCTAGTTCTCTATCAAGCATTTTTTTTCCTTTGTGCCATCTGAAAATAGTTAAACAACTATTTTAATTAGTTGATTCATATCAGCAAGACCATTCAGAGAAAGAAACATAAGTGAAATCAGTCTTATGAAAAATAGAAAAGTTTAAAGAATTCTTAAATGACAAAGGAAAGCGTGAATAATAAGACTGCTGTATTAATTGGATTACAATTTCAGCCTAGATATTGATTTTCCTTTTTTTGCCCTACTTGAGAACTATTGATCACAATTTTAGTCAGACTGTAAAGGTATCACATTTCCCACTTAGGCAGTCTAAGATTTAACCCTTGATGATCACTTGAACAGTTTGCTGTACTCTAGCTAAAGCTCTTTCGCTCTAATGCATAGCCAATTAGCCTAGTCTACTGGACATTGCAATGTGCTCTTCTTTTGTATTTCAGGCAAAAGCCAATCTTCAGGTTCCATATGTTTTCCATGGTGCGCTCATGCCATCATTAGGTTAGGAAGACAGAATCCTAGGATCTTCTAAAGACTGCATGTGGCTTTGAGCCTGAGCCCCATTCTAACAGCAACTAGTCTAATAGGCTGCTTACAGACATGAAAAAAAGAAAAGAAAAAACAGTGTTTTACTTTAAGCTCAGTGTGCCCCTGCACCAAGCGCAGCACATGTCCAGAAGAGGCATCATGTTAGTTTGACCCAGTTCACCCAATGTCTATAGACCGTGTGCTTCATCGGGGCTTCTTGGCCCTTTTATCTAATAGCTGATTTAATCAGCTATTAGATAAAAGCACTAAAAAGCCCTGCTGAAGTGCCCAATCTATACAGCTGCTGGGGAGCTGGGTCAAGATAACACACTTCCTTTTCCAGTAAAGTGCTGGGTTTTTTTTTTTTCATGGCTGTCAGCAGCCATAGCGCCTAACTGAATAATCCTGATTCCCACTAGGTTTCTGGAATAGCAGTTCTCAAGACTCAATTCTGAATCCTACATCCATGTGGAGAATATTTTTAAATGTACTTACAGACATTCTTTAATGTTAGTAATTTTTAATGGTAACTTTTTTTCTCTTTTGTTCTCTTTGCAGTACCCATTTGAACTAGGACTAATAGCAGCATTTGTATTTTCTACCTTAGTGGGTCTCAGCAGAATTTACACTGGAATGCACACTGTGTTGGTAAGGATAAAGATGAACTACAGATCTTTCTTACATTGGTGCCCGTTACCATGTTGCCTAAACTTATCTTAAATACTACTCTACTTCCCTGCCAGCAGAAGGCAAGCTTAAAATTCTTTATAAAAAATAGAAATTTCTATCTATCAACGCACACATTTTGTGAGGTCACTCCACAGATGGTACTTTTATGGGAAGACTAGAATAAAAAGGTGGATTGGTATCTATTTCAGAACATGGAAAGGTGAGTATCTTTTTGAACTGCTGTTGAGTTCTATAGTCTTGTCCCTGCTCCAGTGAATTTTTGTCAGCCACTGTTAGAAACCTCTCCCTCATGGTAAACAATTGCATTGTCCCTGAGGAAGGTAGCTATAGGCCAGCCCAGTGGTGCTCAACCTATCTGGCCTCCATGAGCCAAATGAATATCTTACAGCTGGTCCATGGGTTGGATGATTGGGCACAACACCAGCCCATGGGCAAAATCCCACATGTGGGGTTAATCTGTGGAATTGATCCAGCACGGGGTCGGTCTGTAGGTGTGACCCTGCATGCTGGCCTGGTCTTGTGTGCCTCATCTGAATATGGAACAACCCTGTGCACCAGCTCAATCCCATGTGCCTGTGGAATCTGGCATATGGAGGCCATGTCATCCCACCCATGGGTCTGGAAATTTGGATGCAACAGCAGCTTTAATCGTTGTAGCTCTGGGTTCTGCTGTAGCAATTAACACTGCCACAGCTTCCCTGCTGCCAAATTTTCAGATCTGTGGGGAATGCTGCAGACCAGATGACACAGCTTCTTGGGCTGGTTCCTGCCTGCAGGCCATAGATTGAGCACTACTAGACTAGTCCAGTTCCTAATACTGTTAGAGTGTCAACACCAGTCAGTATGACTTCCCCATATACAAATGTTCATTTCTTGTCAATTCAATTGCTACAAATCCATTAAACTGATAATTTAGCAATAATGAAACACCTACCAAACTCCTTTCTCCTACATTACCATCCAAATGTCTTAGACCCTCTCTCTACAAGAAACTTCTTTGAATATAAGCAACCGTAATATAGATTTAGTTCCTTGCAGTAACACTCAGATGCACATCCTTAAATTCTGGCCTTGTTCTTTTTCATGTATAAATTATGATAATTTTTACTCTCTTCTATGTTTAGAGGGTGTATATAGTGTATATATTTCCTGGATTTAATTAGCTCATTTCAGGGGCAAACAACCAGGACAGTTGTTGAAGGCTCCACTAGGTTAAATTGGTGCATATTTCCCAATGATGAGGTTGAAGGATAGAGAGACCTTGTCTCCATGGACCCCACAAGCCAAATGTAGGTGTAAGGCTGTTTGTGTGCAGTGCTGGTAACTATATTAATGTCCTTTGGCAGTTCAGATGTTTAACTAGAAGGGAAGTTGTTGTATAATCAAACAGTCTGTCAAGCTGTTGGGATACAAAATTCAAGTACAATTTTTAAATCTTGGTTAAATTGTCTTATGTTCTTAAGTATTAATGATTACATTAATGGGAAATATGATTGAGCAACTTAAATGCAATGTACCACAGATTTTTTTTGCCTGTGATAATATCCAGAAATATTAGACATTGGTTTAGTCGTGGAGTATATATAATAAGTAGAAATATTGAGTCAGTGATGCATGTTAGGCACAAGTAGCTGGCAGAACTTGACACCTAGAACTGAAGCTAAATGACAAATAGGGGGGAAAGCATTTTCCTGATAAGTTAATCTTTTTTAAACTTGTCATATCCCTGAGATGCTCTGAATATGTGGGGGTGTCTAAAGTTCAAATTGTCTACTGATTTGATAAACTCCAAGGGCATGTCCAAATGAGCGCGCGTATGCCTACTGCGGTGTCTCAAAGCAGTTTGAGATGCTGCAAGAGGGAAATTCCCTGCGCTGCATATTTGCAGTGTGGATTCTAAATTTGATACCAGGAAATCCCAGTAAAAAAAAATCCCGGACCCCACGTGACAGCAAGAGCGCAAAGGCCCAAAGGCGCATGCCCGCAGGCCAGGGTGGCCCAGGCCTGCAACTTGTGGCACAGGCAGCATTGCGTTTCAGGCAGCCATGGCTGTGCTGCGCCATGGCGGGGCTCTACTAGCAGCAAGCCCTGAGTGCCCAGCAGCGCTTGCTGCTGCTGCTGCTGAGGACTGCACCGTGTGGGGGTGAGGCAGGGGACCAACCCCTCTCAAGTAGTCCCCTGCCACACAGTCCCCCCACCCCTGCAAACCCCCCACCCACATACCCAGCTACAAGATACCCCCACAAACCCCTGTACAAGCCCTATAACCCCCACAAACCTCACACCCACAATCCCTACAACCACCAAGCTGCCCCACCCACACATACCCCCTTAGGGTGTGTCCATACATGCAGGCAGATATGCTTGCAGCAACTCAAATAGCAGTGGCACAAATTTGTGCCTGAGATTTGTATCTCAGCACACGTGCCTGAACATGCATTTTGGTGTGGGGCAAATTGTGGCACTTGAGGCAAACTGACCCTGCCCAGCTCCTTCAGTCAGGGGGAACTCAGGCTGCTCAGCTCCTTCAGCTTAGAAGCTCCTTGAGCTGCTCCTCCCAAACTGACCCTGCCCAGCCTCTTCAGCCAGGGGAGCTAGAGGCTGGCAGTGCGCTGCCTTGGGGAAGAGCTCAGGGAACTTCTGAAGCTCAGCCAGTTGGTATCTGGGGACACTAGCCCCTTGTGCCAGCTCAACTGCGTAAGCAGTCCTAACTTAGAGTGGCCTCTGCACCCTTTACCCACTGCAGCAGTCTGGCAGTGGGGGCTGCTGCCTGGCTGTGACCTACTCCTACCTGTGACAGCATCCACTCTCTTGGACCTGCAGCCCCATGGCTCCATGACTGCCAGACCTAGACAGGGACAACACAGCTGCCAGGGCTGTGACACAGGCACTGCAGCAGAGCCGCCTGCACCTCTGGGCCAGCTGCCAGTTGGCCATGGCTGCACAGTTGGCCTTCAGGTGGCACTGCTGTCATGTCTTCTGGTGCCCTCACTCTACCATTTGGGCAGCTATCGCCCACAAGATATGCTCCTTGCAGTGTCCTGCTTCAAACTGTCGAAGTATGTCCTCCTGGCCCCAAATGATCAGCCACCCCTCCCGCTGTGTCCCTAGTGCTGGTCCTGGGTGGCTCCTCTGCCTGGGTTTTGCCACTTGCCTCACCAGAAGAGATCCTGGTGTTCCATTTTAAAATTGCAAATTCTCTTATAAGAAACCCATATTCTCTCATTAAAATACCCAAAATCTGTGTTCTTCTGCAATTAAAATGAAATGCCACTATGTACAGAGAGATCAGTTGGGCAATGTTTTATTGATATATTTACAACTTTTAAGCAATTTGGAAGCCTACCAGTGCTTCTATCATCATAATAAATGAATTCTAAATATCTATACACTTTGGTGTTTGCTTTTTGTTTTTTAGTCATAGAAAAATCAGAGCTGCCCCTGCCCCCTTCTCTCACCAGGAGCAACACTGATATGTCAGTGCCCTGACCATGCCCTTGTCCCTCACTCCCAATCCACAGCCCCATCAGTACCACTCACAGCCCCCCTGCACAGCCCAAACCCTCCCCCCCCCGGAGCAGCAGCGGCCATTGGGACACTCAGGTCCCACTATTGACTGGCAGAATCCCCTGGGTGCACAGCACAGCCCTGGCTGCCTGGTGCCAGATTGGCACCATACATAGGGCTTGTGCACCCCCGGTCCTGCCCCACGCACTGTCGGGTCATGCCGGCTCTATGTAGGCAGGACCTGGCCATGCCCGAGGATGCGTGGCCCCTGTGTGCAGTGCCAATGCAGCACCAGATGGCTGGGGCTGCAACGTGCTGCTGGGGGGCTCTGCCAGTCAATAGTGAGACCAGAGTGCCTCAATGGCAGCTGCTGCTGCAGCTGTGGGGGGGCTGTGGGCCATGTGGGGCAGTTGTGGGCCATGCTGGGGGTTGTGCATTGTGCGGGGGGGGAAGTGAGGCGGAGGACCCACCCCTCTCAAGCAGTCCCCCCCCACCCACAGTCCCCCTCACATCCACACCCATAATCCCCCCACACCCCCGCAGTCTTTCCTACATACCCTCTACCCACAGTCCTCCCCCACCCCCATGTCCTTACTTACTTGGGACAGAGCCTGGGAGTCACCGCTGCAGCCTTGCCCCCCTCCTATTTCCCCAGCATGCTGAGGCAGCAGAGCATGGGGCAGCTATAGAGACACTCTAGCCAGGTGCCAAAGTGTCTTTTTGGAGGACCCAGCCTCTCTGGTTGCTTCAGGGCACGCTCCAGGAGCACGGCTTGCACCACTTTTTTCCAGTAGGTTGTTTTTTTTTAATATCTGGATTTCCACATATCAAATTTAGAGTCCACACTGCAAATATGCAGCGTGGGGAACATTTTACTGTTCCCAGCGTGCTGCTTGCAGCGTCCTAAACTGCTTTGAGACATCCCAGTAAGCATGTGCGTGGTCCTCTGGATGTACCCTGAGACAGAAAAATATTATGATGCAAGGGAAAGCTCAGAAAGAACTTCTTTTTAAATGTGTGGTTTTTTTTAATCTGCCTGCTTTGACTAAAACTAATTATAGATAATCAGTTACCCCTGTAGCAGTAGTTTGTTAAATATGAATAGCAGATTAATTTGCCTACATGGATTCTATCCCTAAACATTTCCACTATGGGGTATTTTCATAATGCAAGGAAGCTTAATTGGTGTTTTCTATAGAGCAAGGAGAAGTGTGAAATTCAGTGTGTAAAAACAGTTTGCAGCCTTTGTATGCTATTCACAATATATGCTGTTCAAAATATATCATAATCAGTTGTATATAAAGAAATATTACACCAGCTGTAATGAATGAAGTACTTACTATATTAGATGTAATGAAGAAATCTATAAAATATGGCCTGACCTGAACCCTACTGGATCAAAACAATGTCTTAAATCTAGACTGGAGACACCCTATTTTTCTAACTAGTGA